CTTAAGAGAGAACTTGAGACTTTCAGAAGGAGCTCAAGTCCAAGATCATCCTCGCCATAGTTGATCGTCGTTGACCACCACTAACCGTTGACAACGACCGCCGACCTCTGTCGACTATCGTCGACCACCGTTGAACGCTACCGATCACCTCTGACCTCTGTCAACTACCGCGACCGTCATCAACTGTTGTTAGCCACCGCTCACCTATGTCAACCACCACTTATTAGACGTCATCAGTCGACGTTGTAACGTGGAAAACTAGTAACATTTTCCCGCCTGTGGGACAAGGGGCATCTGTAATCATCAACTTATAGTGGATTTTTTCAACTGGGCCAGACCCCGTGATTTTTCCCTTTTATGGGTTTTTCACGTAAAAACTTCTAGTGTGATGACAACTCGATTCATTTTTATCTGAGTGTGTGCTGAATTCTCGTGCAACGCTAAGACGATAATCCATTACTCTACCGCCGCGAATTTTCTAACAAGCATCAATAATAATGCTAAAAGAACCTTTGGGGAGAAGCTTGAGGAGCGGCTCTATTTAGAACTTGGTTTCACCGTCTTAAATATAGAAATTAAAAATTCATTAATATTTACAACCTAACTCAATTTTTGTGCTTATAGATTAATAACTGATCAACTTGAAAAATTTAATTTTTTTTCAACTTGAAAAATGGGTGAAAGAGAATGATCGATTTATAAATAGCAAATTTTGGTTGGTTTGTATGTAATTGTGCCAAAATAAAGGCCGGCAAATGTCAATTTAACCCGTCTTTTTTCATCGCAAAAAATAAATAGTATTTTTTATTTATAGAAGTTATATATATATACTCTCTCGAAAACGATTATAACGAGCCGCAAGTCGGTTTCGAGCCGTACTAAATCTATTTAAGTCGATTTCAAGCAGACCCCAACTTGGACCCAACTAGCCTCGAAATCAAATCGTCAACAACCCTATCCCTCGTATTAAATAAATCTAATGCAAAATTCTCCCACTAACAAATGGGGCCCATCTCTATCATCATTTAATACTATCAAATTCAAAAGCTATTTATTTATTTCTATTTTATTGGATGATTAAATTTAAACATTTGAACTGCAAATAAATAAATTATTGGTATCAAATTGGGAGATTTATCATTTATATTTTATAATGTTTATTAGTTGAATATTAAATATTATATTTAGATTTGGCAGCATATGAGTACCCACTTAATGGCATATACTCTTTCAAAATTTTGATACTTAAATGATAAAAGAGGAATTTACATACATACCACCTAATTCTTATGTATTTACATTTCTAACACCTAAACTTTTCATATAAAAAAAAATAAAAATAATAACATTATCACTATGTGAAATTTCAAAAAAAATGAGATGCATTTTAATGATATGTAAATACTAAAAAATTGAGTGGTATGCATGTAAATTTTCGAATAATAGAATGAGACTTTTGACTGTTGCCGCAGGTAGAGTAACGTGCGGAGTTCAATGAAATCACGTCATAGAGGAATATTTTCGGTAACACAGGCAACACAGGGGAATATTCCCCCAGTGTTATTTTCGATGTTGTCGTTAATCTTTGTGAAGCAGATTACACTATTCTTTCTATTGAGATTTATCTCGTAGCTTCAGAGATGTTCGGGGATCGAAACTATAGAATGCTAATGGGAGCAGACTGAGCGAAAGAATATGAGATCAGAGCAATGATGAAGCTCTAACTTATCTCTAATGCTTAGCAATATGTCAAGTGGGAGATCAAACCATGATGAAGAAAGTGATGAAGAAGGTGACACTGAAGAAGAAGACAGCGACGATAAATAATTTTGGACATTGAAAAAGAGTATCTATTTTATTGTTTCTACGTGCAAAATAGGCGGTGAGATTTGTGAGATGTGCATAACCACTTAAATTTAAATGCTGAGAGAGATTAATGGAGACAAAAATGATAATTAAACTATAAATAATGATATTTTCTAATATTAGCTCCATACAATTGTTATTTTTGGGAGAGATGAATTAAAGTTTTTTTTAATTTTTTTTTTCTTAAAGGTATGAAATTTAATTAAATAAATTATATATATTGAATATTTTTATTACTTTTATTTAAAAAATAAATAGGATATAACCTAAAAAAATGTATATCCTAAATTAGTTAAAAATAATTTATTCAAAATTACGACAATTGCCATAGCATGCTTTCAACGGTTCCCGGAGCCGGTTATTCGATCGTTCTTCGTCTTTTCCACCACTATTAGACCTCACCCTTCTCCTCCGCATATTCGTCTCCCCTGTTTACAGACCCCATTGTTGTTCCTCTCTCTCATTCTATCTCTCTTCACCCGTCTCATTTCCCATGGGGGAAGCGAACGGGAAGGCTTCAGATCTGAAAGCCGGCTTCGTGCAGATCTACTCCCAGCTAAAATCCGAGCTCCTCGAGGACCCAGCCTTCAGTTTCACCGAAGATTCTCGGCAATGGATCGATAGGGTAGGGTATGATTCGTTTCTTCTCCTTCTCCTCTATAAACCTTCTGCATCCCGATTTTCGGCAGTCAGAATGTTGATCCCATGATCTAGCTTTTTCTTCTGGTTTGATTTTCGTTTTTAATTCCATCGACGAGGATGTTCTACAGCATTTAGCTTTTGGAAACGTTTGATAAATCGCTTTATTAGGGATATGATTGAGGTCTTATTATCCGGCGGAGTTCCTCTTGTTTCTTTCTTGTTTGTAACGCAGTGGTAGTTTGGTGAAATGATCCAAAAGAGCTTTAGAGACAAATTGTAAAGGATCATTAATGCTTGGCAAGATTTTTGCTTTTGTGGTTGGGTGGAACCCTATTGTAAGTCTTACGCTAGGGTAGAGCTTTTAGACCTTAGTTTTCTTCTGAATCTGGGGATTGTTAAGCGAATTTGCTATGGCTTTTGCACTTACCGGTGCATCATGGAGAATTAGAGCACTACAGTAGACGAAGGAATGTTCTCAACAAAGTGCTTTGAGATGACGTAAGGATTGGCAATTCAAGGAAGCTTGCCAGAGAATTTTTGGAAAAGTTTGGTAGATAGCCAAAGAAAGGAAACTTGAGGGATACAAGATACCTTTTTATATTAAAAATATATATTTTTTTAATAGAGGTTGGGAGAGAGAGGACTCAGATTGTGTGCATGTGTGCTGATGTATTTCAAAGCAAACTAAAGTAAGCTTCAGGAATATGCCTTTCTGAGCACAAAGAGAAATATTTTATTGTTTTTGTTTGACCTGGTTGTAGGCTCGAATCTTGAATTTAGGTAAAACTTAGTTTTTTTTGGGTGGAAGGTGAAAATAAATATGTTTTTTATAGTTGTAATTTGGAAATGCTGATGGCTTTAGTATGATTTTGGTCCTCTAAGTTTGACTTGATTTGTTTCTGTGATAATTTTCTTAGTATGCATCAAATCTGGTTGTTGTTTTTCTTTTTGTTTTTTAATACTAAATTTGTTTTGGTGATAAATTTTTTTTAAATTTTTGCTTCCAAATATATTGTTTACTCTGAACATATCACTTAGTTATCATCTACTCCAATCCTTATTGATTTATCATGATTTTTGCAACAGATGCTGGACTACAATGTACCAGGAGGTGAGGAATTTGCTTCAAAGTTATTCTTTATGTGCACAATATGCTCTTCCTTTTTTTTTTCTATGTAAGGATTTAACTTATTCTGCAACAGCAGTCATCAAAGATTTTTGGTCCCACCGAGTTTAAATTTGTCCTACATATACTGTTGAAGAGAATCAGAAACTGGATGCTCAAAATGTTTCATTTTACTGTAGGGAAGCTCAATCGTGGTATCTCCGTGGTTGATAGCTTTGAAATTCTTAAAGGAAGCCAACTCTGCCATGATGAGTTTTTCCGTGCAGGTGTACTTGGCTGGTGTGTTGAATGGGTGGGCATATTGAATACTTATTCTTAAACTAACATTTTTGAAGTTATTAGATTATAACTTATTATTATTTTTTTCATATTGGACTATTTTCTATGTGTGCTTTTTGAAAATAGCTTCAAGCATATTTTCTTGTTCTTGATGATATGATGGACAATTCTTACACGAGGCGTGGTCAGCCTTGCTGGTTTAGATTACCTGAGGTATGCCAACCATTCTTGTCCCAAATCAGTGTGCCATTATTATTTTTCCTCATCTTCCTCTCTAAATTTAAATGTATATGTTTCCTAAATTTTGCTTTTATTTGTTGTCATTGAACTCTTTTTGAAATAGTGTAATCTATAGTTGACAAAGAGTATCAAAATAAAATAAGGTATGAATGGAAATCTTCTATGTAAATGTATTCTAAATATTTACGTGAAATTTGTCCCATATTCTTATTTTAATGCATGACTACTTATCTTTATTTTAAATGATTTTTTTTCTCTTTTAACAAAATCTTTGTTCCATCTTAACGTATGTTCTACTAACCTGTTTCATTTTGTTTGATCAATAATTTATCATCGCTCAACTATTCTTTTGCTACATTAGGTGAAGTTGAAAGTTGTGTAAGTGTGATAAGCATCCTAACAATGGCAGTGTGTATTTTGAAACTTGGTTTATTTAAAAGCTGGCTTTTGTAGACACAAATTTGGCTGCTTTTGAAAGTTAATGTGAAACAATTCTGCTAGAGCTATTGCAACGTATGAACCCTCCTTTTAGTGTGCAAAGCTCCAATTTTGTCTAATTTTAGAGTAATTTATTCTCCAAAATATCATTCATACATACCTACACACCGCTACTCTTTAGAGCCTCAAATGTTTTTCATCCCAATTCTTTCACTGAATTTGCCTCACCACTTAGACACTTCTATTCTATAGAGCGACCAAGGAACAACAAAATTTTTTTATTCATGCATGCATTCAGTCCATTCTCAAGCTTCTATGTGAAGATGGGGGGCTTAATCTTGTTGCTAAGCTGCAAAATCCATTTTTGTTTTCCCTTGCAAATTTTCACCACCCTACTGACTTTTTAACCAATCACATGCCTCTTGAATCACAGCCAAATGACATGAAAGTCTAATTAGATGGCGTGTTTATGTTACTTGGCTATTTTACATAACTAACTTGGTAATATAGGGTTTCTTTCACCATATTTTTCCTTATCTTTTTTATTGCAGTTGTATTAATATGAATTTTTTAATCTTTAAATGCATTTTTAAACTTGTTGTGTTATTTCTTGTTTTAGACAATAATTAATACGATTGAACTCTAGATTACGCTAGTAACCATGGTCATAATAGGAATAACCATGAATATTGAATTTTGTTAGAATTTTATTTTAATGAAAAGTAACTTTAATCTCTAAGGGAATAAATATTAGCATGAATTTGAAGAAAACCCATATATGAGTGAGTTGGACTCCAAGGGCATGCTACTTGTTTATCTTCACTTTGGGTACCGGCTAAAAGAATTAATCATCATATACTTTAGGTTCAGTGTATTTTAATCTTGAGCCGATCTTATGTAAACATGAGTTGATGTCATACAGCTTTTTGGGTTGACCTCAGTCTATGCTTGTACCTAGCCAGAGGTTGGCAATTTGAGCTTTGGTTCATAAGTCTCATTTCAAGTATGACAATGTTAACCAGTTTAATTATCAATCTTGAGGTGAATTCTAGTTCTGTTAAGTATGCATTTAAATGTGCATATGATAAAGGTGTAAGTTATTGATAGTTATGTATATGCATACATGTGTTTATACAGAAATTTTGCACCTGCTTCTTGATCCAATCTTCAGCTAGTTTTTTTTTTTCAATCAAGTTCTAGTTTTAATTTGTGATTTTTAATTTTGGGTCTATTGAAGTGACAATTTGATTTTTATTCAACCTTGGATCTTGCTCAAATTCTCTATACTAGTTTATTTAATGGTGCTTATTTTATTTTAGTTCCTTTCTGTTATATGTCATCTTGCTTGAATTTTATGGAGAACATTGTAGGATTATCAAAATTTCCAAGTTAATTCGATGTGCACCAAGTGCATGCATCTAGGGTTTCTTAAGGTAATGAACAAATAGAAGTTTATTGGTAAGTGTGAGAAAAAAAATATTGAGTGTAAATTGCAGAATTGTAAAACTCTTGTCGAAACACATTTGCGGGTGGAAATACTAATGAAATATGGCTGATCAAGAATGAACAGGAGGAGGAAAAAAGAAAATTTTCTAACAGTGTCTAGTTTATAAAGCTTTATAGAAACTATATTGTTGAATGATGGAATTAACTTTCATACAAATCATGTTATGAGAATGAATTTTAATTTCATCTTTTTATCAAATTTCTTAAAACTCCAATGTGATAGTCAATGTAGTATAAGCTTCTTTAGTTATTATTATACTACTCACAAGCACAGGCAGAATCCCTTTAAGATTTCAAATGATGGCTCCATTTTCTTGTCATGATCATCTTTAAACTTTAGCAATCCATGGACTCTGTAGTTTTTTATTAATTTCTTAGACATGCTTGTAATGTTCTATGCTGCTTCACTATCAACATGCATCTTAGAGATTAATCATCTACAACATTGGAAGATTGACTTAAAAATCATGCTTAAAATTTCACCTTCAAGCTATATTTAAATTTCACCTTCAAGTACCCCTTGTAGCTTTCTATACGTATGAATTTCTAAGACGACTCTCTCTAATCTTGTCTGCCACTGGAGCTACACCAACCCCATCACAAATATATTCATTTCTCATTTTATCTCTAAGTGTCAAGTCACTCATCCACCTAAGTGTTCTCATCTCAACAACACTTAACTTTTCTTTATACTTCCCTTTTAAAATCCAACATTCTACGCCATAGAGCATTGCAGGCTCATCACCATCTTATAAAATTTTCCTTTCAGTTTAAGCGGTACTTCTCTATCACACAATAGATCTGAAGTGTTCCTCCACTTCAACCAACCAACTTGAATTCTACTAATAACATCCCTATCTATATCACCATCACTTGAAAAATAAACTCAAGATATCTAAAAGATTCACACGTTTTAATGCTTTGATCGCCTATAGTTAAAACTCTGCCATTAGAGCTACGACTACTAAAATTATATTCCATGTATTCAGTTTTAGATCTACTCAAACGAAGGCTTTTAGAGTCCAATGTAAACCTCCATAATTCAAGTTTTTTGTGACTCCTCTGTTTCTATCTACAAGAAGGATATCATCAACGAAAAGCATACAATATCATCAAAAGAAGGATATCATCAACGAAAAGCATACACCAAGGTACATTCTCCTGTAAATGTCCAATAAAATCATCCATAACTAAAGCAAAAAGATATGGGCTTAAAGCTGATCCCTGATGTAATCCAAATTAAATAAGGGAAAATAGTTGGTCAATCCTATTGTTCGAACACAATTAACTACTCCAGTATGCATATATTTAATGATTTGAATATAAGTCATTTCAACACCTTACTTCTCTAGAACTCTCCAAAGGACTTCTCTTGGAAACTTATTATAAGCGTTTTTTAAATCATTGAAAATCATATGTAGATCCTCCTTATTCTCTTTGCACTTCTTCATGAATCCTTCCAATAATTGTATAGCTTTCGTATATATAAAATTACTTTAATCTCTCTGGCTCATTACTTTCTCTAAATGTCCATAAAATCAATTTTTATTGTGATTAATCATATGCCTTTTCCTGTTCTATGAAAATTTTATGAAGATACTTAAACTTTATATGGTGATCTTTAATAATTTTAAATATGAAGTGGGTTCATGGTATATTTTTCAGGAATTAAGCAAACAATAGAATTTCGTAAGACTGTATTATAATGCACCCTTCAATATTTTTACTGTATGGTTTATTGATTTGATTCCATTATAATTAGCAAAATCATGAACTTCTCTTTTGTTTTTGAAGATTAGTACCAAAATTCTTTTTCTCAAATCATTTTATGGATCTTTGTAGTTATGTTACTCTAGTAATAGGAAAAATTGGGCATGTATTATAAGGACCTCCAAATGCGGGATGGAGAGGAAGAATTCAGCTAAAGAAGAAAGGGGACAAGAAAGATTTATAGAGATAAAAAGTAAGTTGAAAGTAGGATGACAACCTAAGGGGAGGAGAGAAACTTCGAGATAAACTTGCTTGCAAATATTGTCTTCATAACCATCATAACATTGCCTAGTATGCATCTTCTATTTATCAAGGAAATATTAATAAGGAAATCAAATGGAAAGCATTCAAAAGGAATTATGATGGCGATCTTTCATTAAAGACACGGCTTTTATGAATGTTTCTTTAAATAAAGCATTTTTATTACATAATTAATCTATAGAAAGTTGGAGGATTGCTCTGTACCATATATAAATGCCTCATGCATTTGTTTTGGTCATCCTAACAGTTTGATTTCTTGAGTTATTTTTATTGCAGCACTGTAGCTATTACTGGAGCACAATGTTACATGTACTTTTTGTGAAGAGAAACCATTGACTGTTTAATCCTAATCTTTTTCTAGGTTGGTACTATTGCTGCAAATGATGGAATTATACTTCGTAACCACATACCTAGGATTCTCCATCGTCATTTCAGGGATAAAACTTACTATGCTCATCTCCTGGACCTATTTAATGAGGCAATGTTTTCCAAAAAATAATTATTTTTCTTATTTATATTTTGGGGCATTTACATCCATACCAACAAATTCTTGTTTATTTACATATCTTACACCGAAACCTTATTCTTTACAGTTATAAAATCCAAAATCTTTCATATCACATAGAAATACCATTATTTTAACTTTTAAATGGTGGAATACATCCTTTCATCCATAAGTATGGTGACATACATGTAAAAACTTAACTTTAGTTGTTACATATGTAAATACATAAGAAGTCAGGGGTATGTATGTAAATTTTTCTTAATTTTTATGTTTAGTATTCATGCAGTGAATGTATTTTTCTTGTTTTTCTATAGGTTGAATTCCAGACAGCTTCAGGTCAGATGCTGGATCTGATAACTACTCATGAAGGAAAGAAGGATCTATCCAAATATAAAATGCCTGTGTATGTGATACAAAATTCCTTTCACTTTTGTTCCTTTTTTCATCAACACATCAACACATCAACACATCAACACATCAACACATTGACATTTTATTTCCTATTTGTTTCTGATTAGGTGTAATTGAACTATAATGCAGGTACAATCGTATTGTTCAGTACAAGACGGCGTATTATTCATTTTATCTTCCTGTGAGCATAAATGAGTTTTGTGTTCTCTCTCTCTCTTTATATATATATATATATATATATATAGAAAAGATTGGTCAGAGGTTATTATACGAGCCTCTTGATCAACCTCATGTGCCTAAGAATTTCATTCCGCTCATAGGCGGGATCGAACCCGTGACACCAGGGGTCTTACAAACTCTGTCAACTAAACAGTCTTGATAGGCGCCCTGTATATCCATATCTACACGCGCGCGCACACACATAGACACACACACACATATATTGTATGTTTGTATATATATTCATTACATGAATCTTTTTTCCTTTTGGATGGTTTAATAAATTGAGTGTATGGATAGCTGCTGAAAAAATAATGTTTGAGAGTTTTTGAAGTTTGAAGATTTCATTCAAATTTTACATTTCACCTTCTAGAATTGTGATTCATACGTCTAGCAATGGCCGTTGAAATAAAGATAAACTAAACATACAATAAACATTGAAATTGTTTTTATACCTCAAAGACTGTTTTATATGCATTTCAACGCATAACTACTATCCACTTCTAGTTTAGGATGGTTGTAAAATGTAATAAAAAAATGAAAATTTATATACGTAGCACACAAATTCTTATGTATTTATATATCTCACGCCTAAACTTTCATATTTACATGCATGGTAGTTTGGTGTCTTAAATTGAAAATGTGTATTTCACATTTAAAAGTAATAATAGTGGTGTTTTTTATGTGATATTAAGATTTGATTTGTTTAAATATTAAAGTTTAGGCGTGAGATATGTAAATACATTAGAATTGTGTGCTATGTATGTAAATGCTCCAATAGAGTATTGATGATTAGTTTCATAGGATTCTTTTTTTTTTCGTCTAATGTGTAATAATTCATTAATAACTATTCTTATTACTAGTTTTTTGTTTCTTTCTTTTCAAAAATAAATAAATGCTAACTATATCCTTCTGAAGGTTGCATGTGCCTTACTAATGGCTGGTGAAAATTTGGACAACTACGTTGATTTAAAAAGAGTTCTTGTGGAGATGGGAACATACTTTCAAGTACAGGTAAATGCATTTTTATGTTATATAAACCTGTAATTTTCCGCTGTTTATTCGAGGTTTATTTACGTTTTGTTTCCTTCCAGGATGATTACTTGGACTGCTTTGGTGATCCTTCACTTATTGGAAAGGTAAGCGTTCTAAATTTACTCAATTGTATTTTGTTAAATATTAGGTCTATGTTTTTGAAATAATGAATATGAAGAAACTTCCAAAATGGTCTTGCGACTCTTTGCAAATGGTCATTTTTAGTCACAAAATCAATAAAATTGTTAAATTAGTCCGCAAACTTTTTAGTACGAATTGAAACTAGTAAAGTGCCAAAATAGTCCCTGACTATTTACATGGAGTTGTTTTAGTTCTAGATGTTATAAAGATGCCATAACTAATTCTTTGATTTTTTAAATTGCGGCTGAAATAGTCTCTATGGAGGACTATTAGAGCTCAACTTTATAATAATTGAACACTATTTTGGCACTTCTATAAACTCTGGGACTCAAAACAACTCCATGTAAATAGTTGGGGACTATTTTAGCACTTTACTCGAATTAAAACAGTCGGTCGACTCTTTTAAAAGGGATTTTAGCCCCATTAAAAGAGTCTGAAGATTACTTTGCATTTTTTTAAATTCTGAGAATAAAATAGCCCTCTGTAAATAGTTGGGGTGGTTCATTTTGACACTTTAATGAAAATTGCATCCATTATTTGGAAATTTGTGTTCTGCATTGGCAGATTGGAACTGACATTGAAGATTTTAAGTGCTCTTGGCTTATTGTGCAAGCGCTTGAAATAGCTGATGAAAACCAACTAAAATTTTTGGAGGTAAGTTTAGTGCTGGTAATTCACTTTTGTCTGCTTAAATACAGATTTGAATGGTTTAGTTGTTTCTCCAGGAGAACTATGGGAATCCAGATCCAGCTTGTGTTGCCAAAGTTAAATCCCTTTACAATGATCTCAATCTCCAGGTTTGCTTTGTAACCTTGCTGTAATTTGGATTTATCTACGAGTGCAGCAATATTTTCACAACTGCATATCACCACTACGGGTGTAAATGACCAGAGCTTGAGCGAGGCCAGCTTTGGCTCGTTAACTGTTCGTGTTCGACTCATTTGTGTAGCGAGTCGAACATGAGCTTTTGCGAACAACAGGTCGTTTTGATAGCCCTAGTCACGCAGCCGTGAGATATTAAGGGTGGGGGTGAGATCTAAATCTGATTATTTATATTAAAGTGTTTATTTAAATAGAGGTTAATATATTTTTATTCTATTTTTTAAAATAATAATTTTAATTAATCATAATCTTTGTAGCCTTGTAGTGAATTAGATTATTTTAAAACAATATATATATATATATATATATGATTTAATCATTTCAAGTTAAAATGAGCCGAACAAAAACAAACAAATCATTGTGTCCGTATTTTGCTCGTTTATATTTCTGAGTGCAAAAAAAAAATTTGTGTTCAGCTCATTTGATGAGTGAACGAATCAAACACAAACTACTTAACGAGCCAAACATGAGCTCTTCGCGAACAACGAGCCATTTTGACGGTTCTAATCACCACAACTTCATTTCAGTAATTCATTAGTTATTTTGTTTGGTTTTCACAAATAAAGTGTGCTCATGCAGTACATTCCCTGATTTCTCTCTCTTCTTCTTCGCCTCATCTTCTTCTCCTCAGGCAAAATTTTCGGAGTACGAGCGATCGAGCTACGAGCAGCTAATCTCCTCCATAGAAGCTCAGCCAAGCAAACAAGTCCAGGAGGTACTCAAGTCTTTCCTGCATAAGATCTATAAAAGACAGAAGTAGAGTTCTTCTGCATGCCTCCATGTTAAGGATAATAATGTTATACCCAAGCAAGAACACTTCAGTCTATTCTTTCCTGTGTTTTATTTGTACCAATATGTAATTTTATAATGTTTGATTTTTGGACAAAACCTGCAATTTGTATTTTATTTTCTTCCCCTTGAATTTTCAGTTCAGAGTTGGTTTGTTTTTCTTTTTCATAAATTCAATGAAGCTTAGCTTTCTTTCTAGCATTGTTTTCAGGATATATCTGCAAAAAATGAAAAAAGAAAAGGTTATGATGGCTATAAAAATCTTATATTTATCTTGACATGAATGCATTTTATGTATATGGAAGCAATTAAAATTTTGGGCAATTATATAGAGACCATCAGAAACTTGCTATTTACAAATCAACCGCCATCTTTCATCCATTTTTTCAAATTCTCACTCAAATATCAAATTTTGTGGTAAAGCCGACCCAAAATTTCAAATTCGAGGTAAGTAACTGCTTTTTATTATGAGATAAGTGATCTCCTTGTTAGAGGGGTTTAACATTGTTACTCGTAAAGAAGATGGAAATATTCGTGGAAGCATAAAGGGTGTAGCCTAATGTTTATTTATGTTGTTTCAAGGCATGTGTAGCGAGTAGATTCACTTTTTTTCTTATTTGAATCGGCAGTCTAGAAATTTCGTGTTTTACGTGAAAGTTGTGATTAATTTGATATTTCATATTGGCTATGTTTTTTACGTTCTTTGCTTCATTGACGTTTAGTATGGGGCTAATTGACGTGTTAATGTGTGTTGTGATATAGTTGTGTGGGATCAGGCAAGTGGAATAATTAGGTTAACTCACGCTGACTTGGGAGAATATGGATATTACTTCTAGGTTAGTGTAATCGTGAAAAGAAATACGAGCTCCATGGATAATCACGTAATTTACAAGATTAAACATGTTTGATTTTGAACAAGTTGGCACATTAGGAGTAGTTGGAGGCTCGTATAATAGCCTTTGGTCATTCCTTCAGTAGAAAATTTTGAGGGTCAAGCATGGTTTGATTTTAATTATTTGGACCGCCCCTCTCTGATTTGTATTAGAGAATCATTTTACAAGACATCTTCGTATACTCTTCTTATATTTATAAATATTTTTTAGTTTATTTCATTTATTATTCTGCTGATTTTATTTATTTATTTATTTTTTACATCGAGGTTATTTGAGAAAGAGATATAAAATGGATGAATATAAAGGAAGTTCGTAACAAGGGGCACAACTATCTAATCAACTAACAAGATTAAAATATGAAAAGATCATATATGTTACAATAAATAGATGTCAATGTTATTACAATGCAAGTATTATTACATTAGATGCATGTGGTGGCAGTATAAATACAATATTGTATTTAATAGAGGAAGATTGATAAATGATAATAAACTGATCAACTTCAACTAGAATAAAAAAAAAGGAGGGATTATTAAGAAGGTCTCAAGTCGCTTAGTGTTGATGTTGATTAATGACACTCAATAGAATGAGATTCAACAAGTAGGTGGATAAGCAATGTGTTTTGCCTAGATGTGAGTAGAGTGTGGTCGCATTACTTAAGGAGGGAAATGGTTTGCCAGCCTATTAGGAAAAAGTTTTCTGACTATCAAAGTGAGATACATAAGAGAGAGCATAAATTTCAACTACAAATATGAAACTTAAGGCAAGGAGATTATGTGAAGGATGAGTAGAAAGGTTTGGCAAGCTAATTTTGAGCGATAGGGGTATTATATTTGTCATTCTAGAAAGCACGCGTAGAAATCATGTAATGAGGTCTGGTGTTAGAATGACTTGCCTTTGAAAAATATGTGAGTTTTAGAGTAAAAAGGAACGAACATTACAGAGTAATGGATAAGCTTGATTATAATATTTTTATTAAAAAAAAAAAGGAATTGAGAAAGAGAGTGAGATGATGGAAATGATTGTGATTTTGATAAGTGAATGTTTGCAAGAACAAATTGTTGATACTTTTCTTTATTGAAAATGGAAGGCTTTTAGTGAGGCTTAATGGTGATAATAAAAAGAGTAGATGGAGAGTGACCAGTGACTCATTGAAAGACGACGGTTAGTTGTTAATTAGGGAAGAGATGATATTGGATATTGAGTCTATGTCATATAAGAGGGGGGAAGGGAAGGGAAGGAGATGGCTACAAAGCATAATAATAACCAAGAAGAGATATAAGATGTAGATGAGTATTAGTGTTGTATGAGAAAAAAAAAATCATATTTTGTGACAATGTCACACCAACAACAATAAAGAATAGGCATTTTTCTTGAAGGAACAAAGAAGCTGAATAACAAAAGCTAGAGGAGGAGAGTTGTGCTTTTTTGGATTTTTGTGTGATAAGTAAGGCTATGATATGGGACTTGGTGATAGTAATTTGTACTTGATTTATTGTGCATTTTAATTCATGATGGACGGAAAGGGTGTAGAGAAGTGGAGAGCTAAGAAAAGAGAGTGTGTTTATGAGTTCTAAGATAAGAGTGAGAGAGGCGGAGGCCAGAGGAAGATAGGAGAAGATTTTGTAAAGGATGCATAATGGGAATTATTGTTCAAAGATAGACAATGAGCGTTGAGTATTTGACATGTGGTCAATTTTGCATGAGGGAGGAGTGAGGTTAAAGCAATGCTCAAATACGTTGTTTGGACAAAGAAAAATTATTATGTGTGACGACCGCACGTTCGAACGATGGTCCGAATGGACCACCATGCAGGACAGTATTTTGGTACAAGCATGTCGATGGATGCAAGAGAATAGATCAGTAGAGAAAATACATAATAGAAGATAATATCTATAAAAAAGAAGAATGTTAAAATAATAGAGCGTTGAGTATTTGACATGCTGGTCAATTTTGCATGAGGGAGGAATAGGGTTAAAGCAATGCTCAAATACGATGTATGGACAAAGAAAAATTATTACGTGCAACGATCGCACATTTGAACGAAAATCCAGATGTACCACCACGCAAGACACAATATCTTAGTACAAGCTTATCGATGGATGTAAGAGAATAGATCAGTAGATAAAATACATACTAGAAGATAATATCTATAAAAATGAAAAATGTTAAGATAATAGCTACTATAGTTTTCTACTACAAATGTTTAACACATGATAAAATATATACATGAAAATATCAACAAACTTTACATATTTTATCAAAACCATAACTAAAAATAATATATATAGCTACATCCTCATAAATTTCAACCACACATTCATATTAAGAATAACCATAGACATATGACCAAATTTTCTCTAAGTAGTAAGAATATTGTTAAATAGTCCCTCTTAATCACAAATACTTTAGTAAAATAAATTGATAGACACTCTCCCTTAGAAATAATACCGTTGGAAAATCATCTTCAAACACTTTCAAACGCACTTTTTTAAAATCTGAGATGATTATTGCCATCTTCATGTTTAGTCAAATTATATTACAAATATATAACTTAACAAATTCTTAAATATTTGCAAACTGATCCTCTCTTTTGGAAAATTTACATATTTACCACACAATTCTTATGTATTGACATATCTACGCACTCCTAATTAAAGCTTGGCATTTATATTTAAAAAACTTTGTATATGTAAATATTGAAAGTTTATGTAAATATATATGATCATAATGTGGAAAAATTATTCCATACAGACGGCGTATGCAGAGATGCATGCGTCATTCTGTCTCCACCGTTGATCAGAGCTTTCATTCATTTTTTTTGAAAAAAAAAATAGGCCCACCGAAATATAACTTTGGCCTGATCAACAGTGGAGATCGGACGGTGCATGCATCTTTGCATACGCCGCCCGTATGGAATAATTTTTCTTATAACGTGACACTTATGTAATTTCTTCCTTTTCACAGTATATCAAATGAAGTATACCAACTATTTAATTTATTTATTTATTTTAACTATTATTTTCAGCATTAATTAAATTTTATTTTCATTTAAGGTTAATTAGGTGGTTTTATAATTCTAATCTTGTATGGGGCAGTACACCTAATTGCTAGTCCTAATCCTACCAAAGAGATTCCTTATTACCTACCAATACTGACCCAATAACTACCCATAAAATATTCACTAATATTATATTTTTTTATAATTATTTTATGGATTAATATGCTAATTAGATACTCACATCAATTAATCCACTATTAAACCAAATAATTAGTTAAATACAATGATTATATTAGAAAAAGAAAATTAACTTAGAATATTTTTTTATTAGATTGGTCAAAATAATGTTGAATTTGCATTGAAAATTTCAACATTAATAGACTATTATTTAATTTCATTAACATAAACTAGACCATACATTTGGCCTTAATTGGGTTGGAGAAATGTCAATATGTTTTGATTATTTCCATCCTACTATCATTAATGCACTATTTTTTTACTATAACTAGTCTTAATTGGTACGGGATGGAAGAAAAATGTGGAACATAGATGTATAAGTAAGACAAATGACATCCATCAACTCTTCTTCCTCTTCCTCTTATTTTATTAGCTATAGTTTCATCATCATACATCTCTTTCATATAAATGCCATTTAATTATATTATTTTTAAAAAATAATATGCATATTTATGCATCAATGTTTTATTAAGGGTCTCACAGTTGCTGCTACGAAAAATTATTATGAGCCTGAATACATTAAGACATTGTATACAATAATGATGTTCTGCAGTGTTATACAATAATATAGTACGTGAAGTCTGAATGCATCCAGAGTCTGCATCTAATATTCTTTTTTGCTTCTAGAGGCGTCCTATTCCGTTATTTGAAACTCATGCATTATAAATAACCTATTGTCTCCTTAGTCTCCTCATCTATAAGACATCTCCAATCGATATAGTCACCAAGAAATCAAATGAGTCTTTCATTGTTCTTTCCTCCTCCTCCTCTTCTTCTTCTTCTTCTTCTTCATCTCTCTTTTATTCTTCTTTCTTCTTCCGTCTGCTTCGGACAAGCCGGCAATGGCGGAGCAAAGCTTAACGTTAAGTTCTATGAACAATCATGTCCAAAGGTTGAAGAAATAGTTCGGAAAGGCATGGCCGAAGCTGTGTCTCAGAATCCAAGATGGGCTGCTTCAATCCTCAGGCTCCATTTTCATGACTGCTTCGTGAAGGTCACCTCTGCATGCATGATAGTTATTATAATATATATATATATATA